GGCAAACCAGCATCAGAATCAGGCGGCTAAGCAGGAGGAGTAGGGGCCAGAACAGACCCTACTGCCCGGCCCCTGAGCTCCTGGACCGGAAGGCTAGCCCCTGGCCCCTCCCCCGTTGTTCCCCTACCCCGCAGCCTCAGCTCACTGCGCTGCCGGCACAATGCTCTGGGTGGTGGGGCTCTTGCCGGACAGTGCAGGTGCAGAGCCGCGGCCTGACCCAGTGCTCTGTGCTGCGCGGTGGCATGGCTGGCTCCAGCTGGGCAGCGCGGCTGCCTGTCCTGGAGCGCTGGTGGCGGTAAGAATCATAGAATATCAATGTTGGAAGGGACCTCAGGAGGTCATCTAGTCCAACCCCCTGCTCAAAGCAGGACCAATCCCCAATTTTTGCCCCAGATCCCTAAATGGCCCCTCAAGGATTGAACTCACAACCCTGGGTTTAGCAGGCCAATGATCAAGCCACTGAGCTATCCCTCCCCCCTGGGCAGGGGAGTTTGGGGGGGTGGTCAGGGGGCTGTGGTCAGGGGGCAGGAGTGTGGATAAGGGTCGGTGCAGTCAGAGGGCGGGAACAGGGGGGTTGAATGGGGCTGTGGGGGGCAGAGGTTCTGGGGGCAGTCAGGGAGAAGGGGTAGTTGGATGGGGCAGGGGTCCCGGGGGGGGGTCAGGAAGGAGAGGAGGATGGGGTGGTGGGGCACAGTCAGGGGTGGGAGGTCCAGGGGCAGTCAAGGAGGATGGGGCAGGGGTTCGAGGGGGCCCATCGGGGGCGAGCGGTGGGGGGGGGGGTCAGATAGGGGTCAGGGGCCAGGCCACAGCTGGCTGTTTGGGGGAGGTACAACCTCCCCTAACCAGCCCTCCATACAATTTTGGAAGCCTGATGTGGCCCTCAGGCCAAAAAGTTTGCCCACCCCAGGATAGAAGGATCTGTTGTCCTCTTCTCCCCCAGAACCCAGACCATTCCCTAAAAGGCTCTCAGGAGTGGGGAGGACTCTGATCCAGGCATTGTGTTCAGGTGGTAGCTGTTTTTACATAGATCTGTATATCTCCTCTACTATCAGAGAGAGGTTTCTTCGCAAAACCTGTGCTTTTTATTTATCTGCCATATGTTCCCAAAAGATTAAACTACAAACCAGAGTGCCCACGAGAGTGTATAAACTATAATGGATGCTTGGGGCGGCAGCTAGACTGCAACATCCCACATCCCATGGAGGGATGCCAGCCCAGGGACTCCGTACCTTGGGTGTGTACCTGAGAGGCTAGAACTGGAGACACCATTTGAACTCCGCTCAGACCCAGTGGGCTTGGAAAAACATGGGATCCAAAAGATTGGGCCCAATACAGCAAACAGGTGACCATCCACTAGGGGGAACCCCACCAGGGCTGTAACACAAGCATAATTGTCCTCACTAAGGATGAGCTCATTCTGGACATCTCAGAGCTTCCCACAGCTCGAACACACATTGCATACTATCATTATTAAACATGTAGATAGCACCATAATCCCTGCCCCAAAGACCTCACAGGATAGACACAGACCATAAAGATAGAAACAAACAGAAGAGGGTAGAGAACAGACACACACAGGATAAATCCTGTTTAAAAAAACCAAACCCAACAGTCATTATATAATGAGTTAATCTTACAAGTTTGCTGTTGCTGAGTAGAGAATGAGGAAGAGGAACGGACTGAGTAGAACAATGTGCTGCAAGTCAATCGTAGAAAGCAAGGTGAAAGAAGGGGTTTTAAAGCAAGATCTGAAGGGGAGGAGGGATGGTTGGAGTGTCAGAACAGGATTAGAGATAATTAAGAAGAGAACCAAGGCTGGAGACTGATGGAGACAAAACATTGGATACTCAAGGATAAGCGAGCGAAGAGTTGAAGTAAAACCTTGGTGTCAGAGAAAAGGAAGAGATGAGGTGGCTGAGAGCAGCAAAGAACTCAGAGGTTGATCGGCTGAGAAATCCGAGCAGTGAGTAATGGGAAATGGGTAGAGGAGAATGAGACACTGAAAGGGAAGTGGTGCGCATCAGACAGGGCAGACTGAGGTAGAGCTTACCAGAGAGGGAACAGTATTGAAACAGCCTGGTCACAAGAGCATGAACATGAGCAATTCTGGAGCTATAAAACAATGAAGGACAATGCAGGTCAACACGTAAATTGAATTTGCTTAGAATATGGGTATGAGAATGAGCAGAACTGGAGATGGCCAGGAGTGGAAGTCAGATCTGGGAGGCAACAGGAAAGAAGAGTCAGATTGTGCGCAGTATGAAGGTATAGGAAGTGTGAGGGAGAGAGACAGACAGAAAAGAAGGGCTGGAAATGGTATGAAGAAGCAAAACCAACCACCACTGCCATTTCACCACTGTTTCTTCCCTCGCCAAAAAGAGCCTGCTCTTCACCCCACCAACCCAGATACCAGCCTTCTCCTCTCACTCACCTGTTCCATGCAGCCAGCCATTTCTTCGGCTCTGGACTCTTTGCTGGGAAGTCCTCCCTTCTCTCCAGCCTCTTCTAGCAGAGTACTTGGCCTAGCTGCTTCCTTGGCAGTGGGACGGGTCAGGGCCCAAGCACAGGGGCAGAGACCACTCTGGTTCTTATGCAGCCTTTCTCCCACACCCAAAGATTTTCCCTTCCTGTCCAGCACAGCCACCCATTATGTGCCAAGGGGAAAGAATGAAAATTTGCTTGCCTCCAAATTGCTAACACAGTTGGAAAGTGTCCAATTTCCTGATGAATCAAACTACTGTACTGAATCATAATGATACAGCATAGATGAACTCATTTTTTGGAGCAACACTGGGTCTCCACGTGCCAGATAGGAACTTAGGCTACAACACATGAGTTGTAATATGATCTGGCTGGCCAAACTGTTAGAAACTAATTCAGCTGGTAGTTTTAACATTGCTCTTTAAATCCTGTTCCCAGCCCAGGGTAAACAGGGACACCTTAACAGAAATACTGGGAACTCAGTGGACTGATGAAAGTTCATGTAGAAAAATATATCCTGGGATCTTCTCATGAGCTTTTGAAATTAAAGGTCTTTATGTTTATGGTCATGCACCACGCTTGGAGATTTTCTTTTTCCCAACATCCATGTATGTAGCTCAAACTACAGAATTCCCCTAATTTGTTAGCAAAGGCAACATGTCATGTACACTGAACTGGTCTGCCTTCAGGTGAAGGCAGCACAAATTCGGTCCCCAAAAGCAAATGGCAGCTGAGTGCTCATGTTTTCACACCTATTTCTCCTGCAAAAAGGGTTTATGACCCAATGTGTTTTCTGTGACCGGGACTGAATTTGGGACTCTGAATATAAATAACGCACCCCTCGGCCTTTACAAGCTGGAAACCTTCTTAGTGTGTAAATCCTTTAATTTCAAAAGCTGATGAGAAGATATCAGGTCTGAATTTATCACCTAGATTTATTTTTCACATAACCAACCAGTAAGTTTGTTGTAGAGAATAAACAATGCTATTTAGCATCTCTGAAGTTATCAGTGTTAGTGATGTGAAATACTACAGCCCTCAAAATAAGCTGATCATCAGGTAGGTCCTAGCCAGTCTGGGGACATGCAGCAGCCAAAGCTGTTCCAAAACAGGTCTCCAGTCTGGCATAAAGTGAGCTGCAGTTCTCACTAGTGTAATATGAGAGCTGTGTAAGAAGCTATATAGAAGAGCTAGGTGATCTCTTTTAGCATGGTGAATATTTTAAATTTCCCCAACTAGAAATCTTTCTGAAACAGTGGTGAAGGCAAGAATGTTCGAAAAGCCAGTCCTGTAATGCAGCACCTTATCTTCATTGTAAAAACTCAGATTAGGGAAAATCCCTGCAACTTGATTGTATCAGACATATCACAGAGCTATTCCTAAAGCATTTGGATGAGACAGGAAAATAAAATGCGGCTGACCAATTTTTCTTATCACCTTACCAGTTGCCTTGTGTATGGACACATTATTGCACTTCTTTCTACAAGAGAAAAATTGGCTTTACTTCCATATTAGGGCAGGAGAGCAAAACCAGAGCAGGGAAACAGCCACAGAATGAAGATGTAAGTGATGCCAGAAAAGATATTTAAAGGGACATTGTCAACCTGAAACTTGCCTTATTTTTGGAAAACTGATTAGAATTAGTTTTAGGCACTACACTTGTTCCTGAATATTCCTGCTATTTTTGTGGTTTTGCAATTGCTTTTTTTCCCTATAAGAAATACAGAGGAAATTGACTGAATGTTTTGGGTGGGGGAGGGCATGGGGAGAACAGGACAGAACAGAGACAGTGAAACTGACTATGGACAAAGTGCTGTCAATTAAAAGCAAAAAAACTGAAAGAGTAAATTTTGTTTCTCACTTACAGTGATCTTACAAGTTGACAGAAGTGTGATTTTTAAATCCATGCTCTCTCCCGACCTTACCCACTGTGTATAAATCTCCTTAAAGTATGTATTTACATCAGTTTTGTTTTGGTTACACTGACCTGTGTAAGACATTCTGAGTTTGAAACATCTTACAGCATGTTTTAAATACTACAGAATTCTCTAAATAACAGCTCTTACGAGCTGCAAGCATTATTAAATGTTCAGGGCTGTATTTTGAAACACCAGGCTCAATTCATTTCATACAAATTATAAATGCAGAGAATTGAGGTCATTTAGATTTAATTACCTGATTGTACCTGAAAATCAACCACAATATCAGTGATCAAAAGTAAACTGTGGGTGTAAAACTGGGGGCCCAGTTAAGGCTAGGCTGAAAAGCAGTGCTCTTCCACTTTGAGAGGTCTACCAGTGACACATACAACTGCATTCTATTACCCAGCTTTAGATTGTCTCATACCAGTCACCCAAATCTGCAGGACACATGAGACACTAACACTGGCTATAACAACCATTCAATATTTCATTCACAATGTAAAAACAATCTCCTTCCAATAAAAGGGATATCAACTAAAACTTTCAACTCAAAATAAGATTTTTCCAGTTAACACAAAACACAAATGACATGCTTGCTCTGTTTCAGGCACTTTCAAGATCATAGTTTATTTACTGTAGGTAAAAAGCTAGTATACAGATTAGGGATCCCTTAAACTTCAACTCTACAGTTATACACCACTCAGTATTTTTGCTCTGAATGTTAACCAAAAAGATTCTAAACACCTGTAAGCCCCACTATTAGTATGCATGTTATGAGAGAAAAAAAAATGTTTAATTTGCTCAATGCATAATATTTACACTGTGAAACCAGTGGCAGATAACAAGCAGCGGTAAAGAGGTAATAAACTTTTAAAAGCCAAAGTTTATATTTTTTACATTGTGCCTATCAACATAATTGTATATAAAATAATGAACGTAGTAGAGCTTCCCATTACAGAAATCTTACTCATCTGAACTGCAGTCATTACTTGCTAACAATTTACATGCAAGACCTCCTAGGTTTGACATTTGATTTTTTTAAGTGTAAGTAGATTATGACATTTAAGAGACAAACAATTAACTTGTGAACAGAATTAAAAACTGCACTCAAGAACTGTACGGGTCACAAGCCTCTTTCATACAGAAATAATATAAACAATGACAGCAACTGGTCTCCTTTCCATACATCAAACGTTATAAAAGGCGATGCGTAGGCTGAGTTGTACCTGGATGGTACAAGTCCACAGACATTGGGAACACACAGAGTTCACACACGTGCTCTTTATAAGAGGCCCATCTTTCCCTCCAATGGCAATGGCTGAAAACAAGTAAGGGGCACAGGTGTACAACTAATTAAATCTTGCAAAATACAAAGATGGGGGGCTGTTAATATACAATTCAAACTATATACAGACTATAATGGAATGTATTCCATCCCAAAACTGGTTTGTGAAACAACTGGACCTTTCTACACTAGCCTCGTAATTCAGAGTTGTAATATAACAAAATGTAAGTACACAAGAGATTTACATGAGAGGTAAAACTTATGGGACATTTTACATTAACTATTTACGGAGATATTTAATGGATAGTCTAATTTTAAAATAATTTTGTTAAGCACATTTGAACCAATGTCTATATATAAAATGTCCTGTTAGACACTTCAATATTTAACTTTGGTGATTTAAAAGGCCTTTTGTGAACTGCATGGCAGAATGCTACTGACGCGTGTACACATCTGCAACAAACCCCGAGACTTGGTGATCCAATAGCGCATGCACATTTCTTCCTTGAGGTGCTTTCCAAGTTAAACCATTCCAGCAACCAAAGACTGAAAAATGGATTAAACTAAAAATTTCAGGGAACTGTAATTTAATAGGGAATGGAATGCCAATATGGCAGCAAAACTTTTTTTAAACAGGAAAGCCTCTTGTACCAGCAGAATCCATATACAGATACACAAAGGGAGAGAGAATACGCCACCTATCATTCCTGTGAAACAAGGCTGATTCATCATGTGAGAAGGTACAAATTACAGAAAACATGAATAGTCAATAGAAGAGAAACAACTGCTTTACATGAAGAAGAACACTTCAATCTGATCGCAGTTATTTTGTGAAGGCGGCTACAACAGCCCACAGGACCTCATTTGTGTTGGCCTTCAGACATTCAACTTCAGGGTCTAAATCCAGAAGCTGCCGCACTCTCTTTGTGGCTAAATCATACTGCTCATCCAGTAGAGGGGCAAAAGCGTTCTCAAGGACATCTGAAGCATGGGCTAAGTAAATGAGAGCCAGCAAGCGCTTGTCCATGCGGTGAGGGTCATTCACCCATTTGTCAAGAACTGCTTCTTGAACTTTCTTGATGAGGCGCTGTTTTATATTGTTGTTGGTGAGAGGGTGGGTAGTCATGTCAAAAAGAAGGAAGTTCTGTTTCTCTGTCGTCAATACACCTTTTTCCACTAGGTTTTTAGCTAATCGTTCACGCACATTTCGTAACTGGTAGTGCAATTTTAATGGATTCCATGTCTCACCTAAAAAAGATTTTAAAAAAATCAGTTAATCAAGGTTTAGCTCCTACCTTGACTATTAACAAGGATAAGTGTTTCCTTTTTTTCTGTAGTGCAGAAATAAAGGCTTCAATTAATATAGCGATTTCGTGCAGAAAGATGCCATACTACTGGCAGCTCTCTTCTAACCTTTGGCCAGGCTTAGACAAGTGGAACATACGAGTGCCTCTCTGAACAACTTCAGGGCACTCAAACTTACATAAAACATATAGCTGGTTTGTTTGCACTCTGCTGAAGGTGAAATGCAAGCTAAGTGATGACTTTGTTACAACTATATATTGGTCATCACTTATGTATGTAAGAAAACCATGGAAAGTGGAGAACAGACAGAGGAAAACAATGAATAAAAATAATTCTTAATGAAGAAAATGTCTCTCCAATCTTTCCCAGTTGTCCATTTTCAGCACGGCCACTTGAAAAGGCTGGGAAACTGTCATTTTCAGCAACTGCCATTCTTTCTGCCACAAAGTTATGCTAATGCTGATTCTTATTCCAGATATCCTTCTCATTGCTTTATCCTCATTTCCTTTTTATAGACAAATCTGAGATAAAGGCGACCATCCACCCTCTACTATATGTCTTCTCATAATGCCTGAAGAAAGCTATGATGTTTACATGAAATAAGGAAAGGCATTTCCAAACACACTGTTAAAGGAGAAGAAAAAATATTTAAGGTTAAGTAAAATACTTTTTAAAATCTTGGGGTAAAACCATGTGAATAAGTGCAGAGTATTATAGCAATGGCTACTGCTATAGCTAAGATTGACAAACATTTCAATTTAACTCTTGTTTTTAGTCACCTGTAATCTGCTTAAGCTTTCATCTTGTGGGCTGAAATCTCGTCTGTTGAAGTTGATTTTTTTCAGAAAGAAAAGAAAAAGAAAAAAGACCCCAAAAAAACAAACAAACAAACAAAAGTTTCCCTCATATTAAAAAAAAATCTTTTTGAAAAGCCAGCAAGGAGGTGAAAGTTAAAATATGGCATGGAGATGGCTCTTCTTCATAAGGGCTTTCGTACATTTCTGTGACAAATGTTCCGATTTGGCAAGTTACAGGCCTTTGAAAATGCCATTTTCCATAAATACAATAAAAATGTTTAAATTGTAGCGGGCGTAATTCCTTCAGAACATTTCAAGGAAACGCAGAGTGTGCTGCACATGTATATACAGTAAGTTACAAATGTCATCAAAAACTGACTGTAAAGTTTTGCAGTGTGACTCAAAGATCCTGTGAACTTATGACTCCTTACGCGTGCACATTACTGCCAAGTGAACGACACAGGGCTCTCTACAAGCCCTGCCTGATTCAATGCGGTTTCCTCCGGTGGGTCCTGAAACTGTGCCTAAATAATGGATCACAGTAAGAGAAAGTAAGTAGGGAATATTAGCTAATTGTTTCCTTGCTTTTTTAGGTGTTTGTACTACTCAGATGTAGATCGTCGGTGCTAATAAAATGAGTAGTTTGGTGACACCTTGTGTCCAAGCCTCTAAACTACATGGAACTGCACTACTAGAGATTTAGACGTGGTTGTTGTATTTTCAGAAACAGTGGATGTTCTGACACAAGTTTGCATGTTCTATAGGCTGCTTTCCCTAGGGATCAACTTAGGAATCACACCTGCTTGATAAAAGTTGCCTTAAAATGGCCCAATTTGCACATCCATGATGGCTCTGAAAGATGTCATGTAAGCAACCCTCTTAAATAGAATATTCCTTTCTCCCTCACTTACATTATACTGCACTAATTTAAGGTAAGAGTGGCTTTTCCCCAGGAAAAGTCTTCAGCCAAAATACTAAAAAACAAAAACTGTGTGGTTGTGAAGTCTATTTAAAAATCCAAGTATTGTTCTTCAAAAATCAGTTCTCTAAACCAAGGATTCCGAAATCCTACCCCAAAACCAGCCACCAAATAATAGAGTGTAAAGAGGACTGATCTAGCTTTCAGGCATATCCACCTTAGGCTGTGATCTCCTCAGAACTCAATGCTCAGAAGGGTCAAACCAGGTCAAAATATTGATGAGGCCTTAAAAAGGACACATTACATGACCTTTGAATCAGTACTGGCCTAGTATGCTCAGCATGGGGAAAGGGGCAGTGTGCGAATATGAATGAGGTATTTTGGATAAGAAAAGCAAATGCCTTTATAACCTGTAGAAATATTTGCAAGATTAGGGGGCTGTTAACCAGAATTCCCACTAAACCATAAAACTGTTCTTTCCCGACGTCTCCTCTCTTTCTTTCACTATGCATGAATTAATGTGAGAGGGAGAGGAGTGATAATGAATGTGAAGTAGGAAATGAAGCGAGAGAAAAAGTGAATCAGTGAAGAGGGAGGGAGGGAAGGAGGGAATGAGACTCCTCTCTAATTTAAATATTGATCTGAGTTATTTGTGCTACACACAAGAATTTAGAAAAAATTCTAAATCTAAAAATCTAATCTATTGATTTTTAGCCCTCTAACTTCATTCTGCCTGTCCTGAAGTCATATTGTAGTTTCCACTGAACATGGTAGTTTTCCTCACTCTCTTTTCTAAACTACATCGTGTTGCTCTGTATTGTTCAACAACAGCTGCAATCCATTTAAGAGTAGCTGCATTTCATTTGCATTCTGGGTGAAGTAAGAGAGACAAACAGGATGGATAAAAATGATGATTTTGAAAAATCAGATACATTTTTGTTTAACATAAACTTGTTTAAAATTCAACTGAAATTATGACAATTTATGTTAAGGCATAATTTTACTATAATCTAGTCAAATAATTAAAATAAATAAATAAAATATGCTGCATCAATGGGCCCTCCTCAAATTTTAATGAGTTGGAGGGTGCTGATTTTTTAATTTATATATAGCATCAGGAGGAAAACCATATTTGAGGTCAACTCAAGTTTTATAAATATGTCACAGCGTTATGTATTACATTAAGTATCTATATTATTTTCAGTCTTTATAATGGAGCAAATGCTGGCATTTACATTTTTACAAATGTAAGCAAGTACTTTTAGTTTCTGCTGTGCAGAGAACCTTTTGCCTTAATTACTTTTGATTTTAGTTTGCTAGCAGCTGGTGCAAAGAGAATATTTTCTTCGTGTGGACTATTTCATTCAAAATTGAGAAACTAGTTGGGAGCTGAAAAAACAAGAAAGCTTTTTTAGTCCTAAGTGGCACACAGGATCTGGTTCAAGAGGTGAATAGAGCTGACCTGCTTAGTAAAAGCAGCCATAATGTAATTAAATTTAATATCTTTCTGGGGGGGAGGAGGAAGGAAAGAAATCCACCACAATAGCATTTAACCTCAAAAAGGGGAACTACACAAATACGAGGAACCTAGTTAAACGGAAATGAAAGAAAAGTCACAAGAGTAAAATGCCTGCAAGCTGCATGAAACTAGTTAAAAACAACACAATAGAGGCTCAAAAGAAATGCATACCTCAAATATAAAAAACAGTAAGAGGACCAAAAAACTGCCAGTGTGACTAAACAGCATAAAAAAGAGGCAGTTAGAGGCAAAAATATATCCTTTTAAAATTGGAAGTCAAATCTTACAGAGGAAAATACAAAGAAGCATAAACTCTGGAAAGTCAGGTGTAAAAGTATAATAAGGCAGGCCAAAAACAAGTCTGAAAAGCAACTAGCAAAAGAAAAAAAAAACTAACAGCAAAAGAAAAGATAAATACACCAGAAACAGAAAGCCTGCCAAACAATCAATATAGCCACTGGACGATCAAGGTGCTAAAGGAACATTCAAGGAAGACAAGGCCCTTGTGGAGAAGCTAAATGAATTCTTTGCATGGGTCTTCACTGCAGAGGATGGGAGGGAGATTCTCACACATGAGCCATTCTTTTTAGGTAACAAATCTGAGGAACTGTTCCAGAACAAGGTGTCAATAGAGGAGATTTTGGAGCAAACTGGTAAGTTAAACAGTAATAAGTATCCAGGACCAAATGCTATTTACTTGAGTTCCGAAGGAACTAAGATATAAAATTGCAGCACAATTAACTGTAGTATGTAGCCTATCATTTAAATCAGCCTCTGTACCAGATGACTGGAGGATAGCTAATGTAATGCCAACTTTTAAAAAAGTCCCCAGAGGCAATTCTGGCAATTGCAGGCCAGTAAGCCTAACTTCAGTACAACGCAAATTGGATGAAACTATAGTTAAGAACAGAATTATCAGACACATCGATGAATACAAATGTTGGGGGGGAGCCAACATGGCTTTTGTAAAGGGAAGTCATGCCTCACCAACCTATCAGAATTCTTTGATGGTGTCAATAAGCATGTGGACAAGGGTGATCCACTGGATATACAGTACTTGGCTGGACCTTCAGAAAGTCTTTGACAAGGTGCCTCACCAAAGGCTCTTACGCAAAGTAAACAGTCATGGAATAAGAGGGAAATTCCACTCATGGATCAGTAACTGGTTAAAAGACAAGAAACAAAGGGTAGGTCAGTTTTCACAATGGAGAGAGGTAAGCAGTGGGATTCCCCAAGGTTCTGTACTGGGACCAGTGCTGTTCAACATATTCATAAATGATCTGGAAAATGGGGTAAACAGTAAGGTGGCGAAGTTTGCAGATGATATAAAATCACTCAAGATAGTGAAGTCCAAAACGGACTATGAAGAGTTACAAAGGGAGCCCTCAAAACTGGGTGACAAAACAGCAGATGAAATTCAATGTTAATAAGTGCAAAGTGATGCACATTGGAAAATATAATCCCAACTATACATAAAAAATAGTGCTGGGTCTAAATTAGCTGTTATTGCTCAGGAAAGAGCTCTTGGAGTCACCGTGGATAGTTCTCTGGAAACATCTGCTCAGTGTGCAACAGCAGTGAACAGAATGTTAGAAACCATTAGGAATGGGATAGATAATAAAACAAGAAATATCATAATGCCACTATATAAATCCAATGTACGCCCACACCTGGAATACTGAGTGCAGTTCTGGTTGCTTCATTTCTAAAAAGATATATTAGAATTGGAAAAAAATACAGCGAAGGGCAACAAAAATGATTAGAAGTATGGAATAGCTTCCATATGAGGAGAGATTAAAAACACTGGGATCGTTCAGCTTGGAAAAGAGACCACTAAGGGGGGATCTGATACAGGTTTATAAAATCATGAATAGAGTAAAGATAGTGAATGGAGAAGTGTTATTTACCCCGTCAAATAACACAAGAACTAGGAGTCACCAAATGAAGGGGATAGGCAGCAGGTTTAAAACAAATAAGAAAGTAATTCTTCACACAACGCACAGTCAACCTCTGGAACTCATTGCCAAGGGATGCTGTGAAGGCCAAAAGTATTAACTGGGTTCAAAAAAGAATGAGGATAAGTCCATCAATGGCTATTAACCAAGATAATCAGGAACGCAACCATATGCTTCGGGTGTCCCTAATACTCTAATAGAAACTGGGGCTGGATGACAGGGAATGGATCACTTGATAATTGCCCTGTTCTGTTCATTCCCTCTGAAGCATCTTGCACCATCCACTGTCACAAGATACAATACTGGGCAAGATGGACCACTGGCCTGACCCACTATAGTTATGTTCCTTTCCTAGTCAATAAATACAATCGAGGAGGTGGGAGGTGAAATCCACCAATTCTAAAAACTTAAAAGTTATGGGGCTGGATTTTTAAAGACAGACCCCTAATAATGCAAACAGATGCCAGTGGGATATTTAAACAGTGCCTAAGTAGGCTTCAGGTAGATTTCATCTTGATTCAGTGTGAGTTAGACACCTAGCTACTTTTGAAAATCCCATTAGGCATCCATTTGCATTTTTAGGCACATAAATACTTTTGAAAATCTGGCACATGGTGACCAAAAACAGTTAATTCACTAACTACAGTTAATACTTCTTTTGTTTAATAAATTAGTTTAAAATGCAAAACATGTTCTTGTAAACTTATTTTCCCTTGTGTATACAACACAAAGTAGTTTTATTTTACTAATATAAAACCATTTTAATTCTAATTTCCATCCAAATACAGCTTGACAAATCCTGAGTAAAATGTCATCTAGCAAATAAGAAATGTATCATTCACCATTTTCTAACAAATAATGTAAAAATTAAGTATCCAAATAAATGTATACTTAAGTTATATAACTGCTTAAATAAATGAGTATAGATAGCGTATGCCCTGGTTAGCAAAAAAAATGAGTACCATATTTAACATAAAGGCTATTTAATGTTTGCAAATCAACACATTTCAGTACTTATACCAACCAATGAGAATGAACCATTTTTTAGGAAAATTCCTAAAAAGTACACAGGTGAAACAAGATTAAAAACAAATGATTAAAATCAAGGTTTCCTGTTTGCTGATTTAAATCATGACTGAAACTGGCAATTTAAATCATTTTGATTTAAATTAATCCATCCTGCAGACAAACAACTTTATAATGAGTCTTGCTACACTGAGATGGAAAGGCACTACATAAAACAAGATGATCAGAATTCAGTGGTAGAATTCCCTTTTCATTTCAACTGATGCACTATGTGGAGAGCAACTGTCATGGATTTAAGTGTACTTGCAATTATACCATTACTGAAGAAAATGTTAATTTAATTTGCATTCCATCTCTTAATACCTATTTGTGGAACTATATCAAGGCAATTGTGTCCAAATAAGTCATCTTGCATCCTTCATTCTGAAAAGATTAGAACGGACTACTCTGATTAGTCAAATTTCAAAATATTTTATAAGTTTCTCTGAATGATGAATTCTGAAGCAAAAGTAAAGAAAGTCGTGGGCTTGTTTTGATTTACAAAACCTCCAATTTAATTTATTTAATTATGTCCTTGTTTTAAATTTGAAATATCAATTCCTCACTTCCGTTTCTTCACTGGAGGATGTGGGCAAGATCTTTGGAGGACGTGAACTGAAGCTATCCCTTCTTCCAGATAAGAGGGAAAAGGCTCTTATAACTTGGAGAGGAAGGCTTGTGTTGTTGTGGATTCAACTGTTATTTCTCAACAGAGAAGATGTGGTGTTCCCAAATATTTTGGCTTAATATCCCTCAAAATCTGATGTGCCAGGTAAATAGTATCCCCAAATTTTACATCTGGATCCTTTCTATCTAGTTAAGCCAATACCAGCAGTTACTTGTATTGTCCAACTGGCCTCATTTTGACAAGTGCTGCAACACACCAAGGATCAGTCACTTCCCCAAGAAGCTTACAATATTTCCTCTAATCCAGTGATGACAGTTAACGAGAATTATTTTTTTAAACATTTAAAATCCTATGTCGATATCTTACCACTAAGCAGTTCAATCCAGTTTTGTACTGTTTCAGGAGGCTGGGTTTCCTTTATGTGCTTCAGAGCTTCATCAAGTAGAACATCCCCTGTGGGAGCATCTGACTTGCAGATCACCTGGCGGAAAGTAAAAGAATGCATTACACGTCATCCCTCTTCATCTCATTTTATACACCTTAAACATCTAGGATAAAAACTGGGAAAATGCACCTGAATACCACATAACACTATTACATTTGATCTACAATTCTCAACAGTACACAGGTTTCAGAGTAACAGCCGTGTTAGTCTGTATTCGCAAAAAGAAAAGGAGTACTTGTAGCACCTTAGAGACTAACCAATTTATTTGAGCATAAGCTTTCGTGAGCTACAGCTCACTTCATCGGATGCATACTGTGGAAAGTTTAGAAGATCTTATTATATACGCACAAAGCATGGGAGGAGGTATTTTTTCATGCTTTGTGTGTATATAATAAGATCTTCTAAACTCTCCACAGTATGCATCCGATGAAGTGAGCTGTAGCTCACGAAAGCTTATGCTCAAATAAATTGGTTAGTCTCTAAGGTGCCACAAGTACTCCTTTTCTTCCAATGGTACACATTACATCTTGATCAGGAACATCCTCTTTGAAACAATTTAAACCCAATTTAAAAATCAACAAACAATTTCCTCTTTCTCTCTGAAGAGCCTGCAGGGCAGCTTTATTTAAAACCTCATTTCACCATATCTCGTAACTTCCAGTTTGTACTTCTGCTGTACAAAAAATTAAGGATGCCAAGAATTTAACTGTGAAAAGTACGTATTGTGTAATTATCAAGTAGAGTCATTTATAGAAAGACTTTGCAAATACTGTTCCCAACTTTGAAACTTAATTATGTAAAGAGAATCTCTGATCAAGTTTTATTAGTCAGACTTACTGAACCATCCAAAGTAACCTTTATTGCTTAACTTTACTACACTTCAATTTTTAGAATTGAATTTCTGCAGGTAACTATTAATCAAAGTTTCTTTGTGGTCTCCCACCAGCTGCAATTCTCTTCCATAACAATGTTATGTTCTTTCTGTTGTAAATAGCAAACTGCTGCTCAGCAGTGGACATCTGGTGACATGATTTTTATTTACTTAAAAAAAAAGTATCTGCATGCAAATATATGCAGCACAAATCTCATTTCATATTCTACATTAAAGACATAATGCAGAAGAATTGCATTACCGATTTTTAGTATATTTAAATAGCAACAATTCCATGCAACAGTGAGATCAGATATTATTTTAACCGTGACCCATTCTCAAATGCAGGTTTCTTGGAGCCTCAACAGTATCAGTGGCATTCTTGAAGAAAATCCAGTCATTTATTCAATATCTGTAACACGTACACAAGTTTTCACTTTCAAAGTGCTTTAAAACTAAACCAATCCTCACAGAACTCCACGGAAATCAGGAAGTTTTTTGTCTAAAGCCCCAAAGAGAGTCAAATCTGCAATTACAACACAAAAGCAGTGTTCCTTCTAATTTTTTCCATCCATGTGCAGAATAAATTTTGTTATATGCACCATATTGAGGTACTGTGCGGATGTGCACCATCAGCAGAAACCAAAAACTTAGATATAATATATATTTTTAAAAAGTTACCATAGGAATAATTACTCCAGCCAGGACAGGTTAGGCATTTTAGAACTCACTAGTCAAAGAATTAAATGTAAGCAAGAGAGAAATAAAAATTATGAAATGCATAGACCAGTCAAAAAACTAAAACACACTTTGAAAGAAGTATCAAGAAGTAACAACAACAACACAAGTATGTGTAGGGAGTTGAGTATGACAGACACAGTCAGTGTGTGCGTGTGTGTGTGTGTGTTGCCCCTTTAAGTAGATCAGCAAATTCAGACCCAGCAGCAGTTGCCAGCAAGCTCCCTCCATCCTGAGCCCTGTCGTGTCCCTGCCCCCCTTGCACCTTCGAGATGGGGTACAGGGGCGGGCCACCCAGCTGCGCAGCTTACAGGGAACTTAGGGCAAGAGCAGCTGGCTTCCAATCCTATGCTCATATACAACCCTGTCTACCATCATACTAACTACCTATAAAAAAAAAAAATCTGTCAGAGCATGAATATTAAATTACCCCTTCCCCCCAAAATCATGGAATCCATGATAGTGGTAAAATTAAAACTTTCTGGAGTAGGGTGCTATCAGGTGACTGGTAAACGTGAGTCTCCTCTAGATGTGATTCGCTATCAAGACTGAATATTGGATGGACTTCAACATTTTAGAAACAACTAAATCACTCTGTTCTAGCAAGCACATTTGATATGGGGACTGATGATATTCAAAATCCAATGTTTTCAATTTCCACTTACTGATACGGAAGAGGGACGACCCCAAGTGTCTGGATTGTTCGATTTAGTGTGTTGGTGGCCTGTGATAGACAGGAGATTGGACTAGATGATCTGGTGGCCCCTGCTGGCCTCAAACTCTATGAATATTGCTATAGCAGCAAAACTGAGAACCACTTTTTAAAAAGTGAAGATCTGCCATGCAGTTATTATTGGGGCAGAAACATGAAAATCTGAATTTCAGCATTGTAAAGTGTGATGAAGCCATACGATAAAGAAAGTAATACTCAGAAGCAGATGGCATAAAACTAATAAATTAATCTGATAGGACCAAATGCCCAAAGACATTCAAGTGATATGTGGTGGTCTGATCTGCATTAACAGACAATTCCTTAGTTTGTGGCACAAAATGCATAGGTTTATATTTCTAATAGGCAAGGCATCCATCATATCTAATTTCCAGCCAAAGTGGGAAGAACAGATCTATGTGACATTTTAAATCACAAGAACAAATAGGGGCCATAGTTTACTATTACTTTTTCTGGTTATCATAACAGCTATATTTTATAGACTCAGAGAAATGTAGGGCTAGCAGGAATCTTGAGAGGTCATCTAGTCCAGCCCCCTGCACTAAGGCAGAATTACCCAGACCACCCTGTAAGGTGTCTGTCTAACCTGTTCTTAAAGAATTCCACAACTTCCCTTGCAAGCCTATTGAAGTGCTTAACTACCCTTATAGTTAGACAGTTTTTAATACCAACCCTAAATCTCCCTGGCTACATATTAAGTTGATTGGTTCTTGTCCTACCTTCAGTGGACATAACCAAGGATCAATCACTGTCCTTTTTATAACAGCCGTTCACCTATCTAAAGACTAATCAGGTCCCCCCTCATTCTTCTTTTTTCAAGACTGAACACGGCCAGATTTTTTAAACCTTTCCTCATAGGTCAGCTTTTCTAAAACTTATTTTTGTTGCTCTCCTCTGGACACTCTCCAATTTGTCCACATCTTTCGTGAAATGTGGCGCCCAGAACTGGACACAGTACCGCAGCTGAGGCCTCACTAGTGCCAAGTAGAGTGGGACAATTACTCCTATGTCTTACATATGACAATCCTGTTAATACACCCCAGAATAATATTAGCCTCTGTTGCAAGTCTACCATATTGTTGACTCGCACTCAATTTGAGATCCCTTATAACCCCCAGATCCTTTTCAGCAGTACTTCTCCCTCATCAGTTATTCCCCATTTTGTAGTTGCGCGTCTGATTTTTCTTTCCTTCTTTCTTTGTAGTACTTTACACACTTATCTTTATTGAATTTCATCTTGTTGAAATCAGATCAATTCTCCAATTTGTCAAGGTAATTTTGTATTCTACTGCTGTCTTCCAAAGGCTAGCAACCCCCTCCCAGCTAGATGTCATCTGCAAGTTTTATAAGCATATTCTCTACTCCATTATCCAAGTTATTAATGAAAATATTGATTAGTACCAGACCCAGGACAGACCTTGCAGGACACCACTAGATACGTCCTCTAGGTTTGACGGTGAGCCACTGATCACTATCTGTGTATGGTTTTTTTCACCAGTTTTGCATTCCGTTTATATAAATTTCATCTAGACCATATTTCCCTAGTTTGCTTATGAGAATGTCATGTGAAACCATGTGAAAAGTCTTACTAAAAATCAAGATATCACATCTACAGCACCCTCCGATCCACTATGCTGGCATCCCTGTCAAAGAAGGAAATTAGGCGGGTTTGGCATGATTTATTCTCAAGTAACAGCCAACATGGATTTGTCATCACCCTATCATTCTCAATGTGCTTACAAACTGATTGTTTAATAAGTTATTCCAGTATCTTTCCAGTCATAAAGTTACGCTGATTGGTCTATAATTCCCTGGATCCTCTTTGTTCCCCTTTTAAAGATAGGTACTATGTTTGCCACTCTCCAGCCTTCTGAGACCTCACCTGTCCACCAGAGTTCTCAAAGACAAATGATGATGGTTCCGACGTTGCTTCAGCTAGTTCCTTAAGTATCCTAGGATGAATTTCATCAGGCCATGCCAACTTGAACATATCTAACTTATCTAAATATTTTTTAACCTGTTCTTTCCTTATTTTGGCTTGTGTTCCTTCCTCTTGTTGGTCTGCTAAGTAGAGGACTTACACTTTCCTTTGTCTTTCTCTTGCTCCTAATGTATTTAAAGAAGCTCTTCTTATTGACTTCTATGTCCTTTGTCAGGTGTAACTCATTTTGTGCCTTAGCCTTTCCGATTTTGTTCCTACGTCCTTGTGCTATTCTTTTGTACTCATCATTAGCAATATGTCCATGTTTCCTACTATTTGTAGGATTCTTTTTTTTATTTTCAGGTCATTAAAGAGCTCCTGATGGAGCCATAATGGCCTCTTCCTATTCTTCCTATCTTTCTGTTGCATTGGGATTGTTTACAGTTGTGCCTTCTCATCCTGTAGATCATAACTCCCTGAAGAGATGTAAACAGGTTTCAGAGAGGTTGTTTTCTTATTTAAAAACAAGTTTTTTTGCTAGTATTTACAGTTGCAGAGATATCCTCGAAAAGGTGAACCGAATATAAACTGATATAGTAACGCCAGCCTAAATTAGCAGCTCTATGAAATGTAAATTGCTCCATTCATCTCAATCAAAGCTCTATGGACTCTGCAATTCTGTGGCCATGGAATCAGGTATTTTTCCATTATGTCTCAAAATGGAGTATTTTATCATGTAATTTGCCATTTACCTGCAGCCAGTTACCCATCATCAT